CCCCATCCCAGGCCCCAAGAAGACTTTCCACATTAAGCAGATGTTCACCTGTACATCTGCTAACGTGGTATACTGCATCCGCTGTTCCCGTTGTGGCCTCCTCTGCATCGGGGAAACCATGCGGAGGCTTGGGGACCGCTTTGCAGAACACCTACGCTCGGTTCGCACTAAACAACTGCACCTCCCAGTCGCGAACCATTTCAACTCCCCCTCCCATTCCTCAGACGACATGTCCATCCTGGGCCTCCTGCAGTGCCACCACGATGCTACCCAAAGGTTGCAGGAACAGCAACTCGTATTCTGCTTGGGAACCCTGCAGCCCAATGGTATCAATGTGGACTTCACAAGCTTCAAAATCTCCCCTCCCCCTACCGCATCCCAAAACCAGCCCAGCTCGTCCCCGCCTCCCTAACCTGTCCTTCCTCCCATCTATCCCCTCCTCCCACCTCAAGCCCCACCCCATCTCCTACCTACTAACCTCATCCCGTCTCCTTGACCTGTCCGTCCTCCCTGGACTGACCTATCTCCTCCCTACCTCCCCACCTACACTCACCCTTACTGGCTCCATCCCCGCCTCTTTGATCTGTCTATCTCCTCTGCACCGATCTTCTCCTCTATCCATCTTCTATCCGCCTCCCCCTCTCTCCCTATTTATTTCAGAACCCCCTTCCCCTCCCCCATTTCTGAAGGAGGGTCTAGGCCCGAAACGTCAGCCTTCCTGCTCCTCGGCCTGCTGTGTTCATCCAGCTCTACACCTTGTTACATCAGATGGTGCCTCAGTTTTAAGACTTATCAGATAGATGACAGCTCTGACAGGCAGCACCCTCTCAGCAATGTACTTGTGCGTCAGCCTTTTGATCGTTTGAATAAACTTGGATTGGAACTTGAGCTCCTTACCTCCTGACTCAGAAGCAAGGTTGCTACCAACTAAGCCATGATTGATAACAGAGAAAATGCAAAAAAAATTATTACCAGGACTGAGAGGTTATAACAATCACAAAACTGAACAAGCTGGGGTCCATTCCTCTAGAAAAAGGTTGAGCAATGACCTGGTTGAGCAAAGTCTTTAAAATTATGCAGAAAAGTAGTAGATGATGTAAGTCAGGTTGAAATAATATTTGCATGATTTTTATTAGCTTGTAAACATGGATTGCAAAGTATTTCAATAGTCATTACAAATAAAATAAAACAAAAAAAAAACAGATAAATTAGTGATCACTGGAATATGACCAGAGAACAAAGCATAAACATTAACAAAGGAATCAAGTTTGTATCAAAGACCCACACACATGAATTGACCCCCACCATCTCAAGTAAAAAGAATAAGGCATACAGAATTCATCAACATTGTTTCCAGAATCCCTTCATCATCATTGCACTCCAGCACCTGAAGGTGCTCACAGAAGGCACTGACATGAGGAATAGATGCGAAAGCTGCAATTACTGCTCCAGAAGGCAGTCAATGAGCTATTCGGAAAAGCATGAAACAATAAAAACACAAATTCAAATATTCACTTCAGTAGGGATCAGGTAGCTTTAGGCATCAAAGGGGTTAAACCAACATGAGTACAATTCTTACTTCAGTATAATTCCTTTTAATCACCTGCAATAAATAATAGCATCATTGAAATTTTCCTCAATTTTTTTCTAAAAAAAAAAATCGATGAATCAACCAGATAATTATCTAATAATACTCATGTGATGCAGAGCTGATCAATTTGAAACAAAGCCTTTTAAAACCAATTAGACGCTAGCATGGCTTTGCACAGAGATATTTGGATTATATTTGGAGTGGGAAAAACATATAAGCTGTTCTTTGGCATCTTAAATTATGCCAAGAAATAAGTGGTTTGAAAAATCAGTTGAAAATACCACAAAATCATTAGTCTTCATAACTAACAAATACTTAGCTTCGTGTGGGTGTCAGTATCATATGTCATTTTTAGTTTGCCTCAGATTCACTGATCAATTATTTGATGGACTCCTGGGTACAAGACAGCTGCCATAATAGCTGCTACCCTTCAAGGCAACGATGTGACCAAAGCACCAGTTGGTACATTTGACAGATGTAATAAGTTGTTGCATAGACATTTCAGTTTCACAAATCTCAATAAGGTTACTGAAATATGGACATGCAACATTGTAAACAAGTCATTTAGTATCAGTATGTGAAAACAATTTTTAAAAAATTTAAATGCTACCAACAAAAAATTGCATCTAAAATTCAACAGATCCAATGGGTATGTTTCAAAATCTGGATTTAATCTACCAAAAAACAAAAACAGATCCACCAAGGGAATGTAGAGTCACATAAACTAGTTCCACTCCTCAGAATCGGTCAGGAGAGGTCTAGGAAACCTTGAGTCCATTGTCTTCCCATAGTTTCTTTAATAGGCAAATGGAGATTAAGTTTGTTCAATTCCGGAAATAGGACAAGATGTTTCTGGGCAATCTGAAAGACACAAAGAAAACAAAGTTAGCAGATACAGTTTAATGGGTTTATTTATAAACCATTCCTCTTATCCTTCTCTTCCATGCTGAAGAGGGCACGTGGCATCCTATCCTTCCACTACACTCTGGATTTTTGTGTAACAAAAACTCAGGTTCACACATAACGGCTATTAACTCACTCTCAAACTCCTAACTGGGAGCGGTGGACAACAAAAATAACAGGTATTTATATAGCATTCTTAATGTAGTAAAGCACAAGAGTGTTATCAAACAAAATGTTGGTATGGAGCAAAGTTATTAGGACAGGTGACTAAAATAGGAAGTTTTAAGGAGTGTCTTAAAGAAGCAGAGACCTTTCATGTCACACAATGAGAATGGCTGCATGGGAGTGCCAGCGTGCATTTTGTGCTCAAGTCTTTGGAGCAATCACCACCTTTCACACGACAGTTTTACCACTGAGCTGAGGCTGAAATAATTAATTGAAACCACCATCAGGTCCAATTAGGATCGAATTTCTTAATGCAAATTTATCATATATTCAGTGGTGGAACACAAGCTCAACCCTAAAACTACCTTAAGTGTGATGCAAAATTTAGTTGAGTTTAACAGACAAAAACATGGCAAACTGTGAAAACTGCAATAAGTCGCAATACTAATGGAAACACGTAATTACATTTTCTGCTGCTAACCTATCCTAAACTGGTGTTAATATGTCTTCAGTTTTCTGCATGAAGGCAGATTGTTGGCAATTATTTGCTGAATCACAACAAAGTACTATCAATTCTTTATTATGGATAAGGTGAGCAGGCAGGTTCTCTTAAGTCTCAGTTAGAACGGAGATCAAATCCTGTGTTAGCTTTCATCTGAAAAACATGCCTAGATGTCTAAACAACTGAGATGAATGCTACCTCCCCTCAATCAATGAGACTCCCCTCTTTTTGAGCTAGCCAGAGCTTAGTTGGTGGTACTCTCACTTGTTCTGAGAGCTGTGGGATCAAATCCTACTCCACAAACTTGAGTTTATAGTTAAGCTGACATTGCAGGTGTATACTGAGGGAGAGCAATACTATCAGAAGTGGCATTCTAAGGAATGCTGGGCATTCTTTCAAAAAAGTGCAAGGAACCTTTTCCTTGATCATCTGGTTGACATTTTTCCCTCACAACTAAGTAATGGCCCGGTCATTACCTCGTTGTTATTTATAGGACATTGCTGTCTATAAATTGGCTGCTGCATCCCCTATTCTACAACGATAGTTGTATTTGAACAGCATTCAATTAGCTTTAAAATACTTTGAGACCTCCCGAGGCATTATATAAATGCACGCTCCTTCCCCTTTTTATTTTCTTGCTACTTATCAGTATCTTGCTCTGCATACTCCATTTTAAATCCATCATAAATGCTTCATCTTCTTAGTAAATCTTACCTGAAATCAGTGATAATTACGGGTAACGATAACCTGAACAGCAAAAACTGGTCTGGCAATCACATCAATCTGTTCCCTTCGATCATTGTGGACAGAAATACAAATTTTCAAGGCAAGCGACAGGAACACGTTGCACACATTAAAACAGAAGCCAACAAATCCACAGGATGCAAGAGTCTGCTACAATACTCATCCATCTAATCCTGTGTTTCACATCAAATGCCGTTCCAAATCTGTCATAGTTCAAGTGTCACATTTTCTACATACAATCTTCTATACTACACTGTAGTTGATTGGATGGAACTTTACATTCTAACATAAATCAGAACTGTACTTTACAGAATCTGACCATTCATGGACAGGTATATGAATAGGAGAGATTTAGAAGAATGGCACTAGTTTAGCTTGTGAAATTTTATCAGTATGAACAAAGTTGGACTGAAGGGTCCATTTCCATGCTGTATGACTCTAATAACTGACAAGAAACAAAAGCCAGGAAATGAAAGATTTGCAATAAATCCTGCAGACTTTTGTGTATTGTGAACAGTACTACACTACATAAAATTGGAGATTTTCACGTGATCGTTCCCTCATGTTTCACAATGACCATTCTTGGGGGTTGCTGGCTACTGCTACCAATTAGAACTGAAGTAGGGGCTATTTTCTGTTATAGCAGATGATACAGTCAGCTAGATTGGAAGCTCTCATGTCTGAATCACAGAATGTTGAAATGGCCATTTTTGCTCAGCAGCCCGCTCCGAGATTCAATTAAATCATGGTCAAACTGTACCTCCACTCCACTCTTTCTAATTCTTACCCTACAAAAATCGGTTTATCTCTAAACTGAAGGTCAAGACAAGTAAATTTGTAGTACTTTAAGGTTTTTAATACAAAGCAGAATATTTGGCACTCTTGCCGGAAGAGAGAGGAAAGCAATACTTCGGTAGGATACCTTTAGAACAATCCACTAATTTGCTCTGTGTCCGAATCAATGTCAATGTCATAGAAACAGGACCGAGTGGGTAATCCAGGCATGGTGCTCATCTACAAGGAACCAAAGGTAAACAAGATTGAAATTAAGGCGAACGACTGAAATAAAAGCAATAACAAAATACTTATCACAGCATTCATAGCATCAAGAAAGGTCATTTATGTCATCTGTCCTATGCTAGGATAGATGCCATTTTTACAAACTTCATGCTATGTTCTGAAGACAGGCACAAAAACACTCAGAGACATCATCATAGGATGAAAACACAATTACTGCAATACTGTATTCACCCTTAAGGCAGCTCTCCCAAGCTGGCAGGGTCCTTCAAGAATATTGTTAAGTGATTTTACAAGTCTGTAGATTCAGAGAATCATTGCAGAAATTTTTTCAGAATGTTGAGAAAGATCACACCAGGTTACACCGCCAAACAAAATTTCCCAGTCACCCAATGAATTCCTGCTGGGTTATGTCCTCAAGAAACCCTTATGCTGGGAAGGAAGACATAATAGATGAACTTACGATCTTCCAATCAATTAATTCACAAACCGATCCACAATTTTTCATTCAAAAGTATTCTCTCCCCTTACCAAAATAAAGGTAAAGTTGCTGTAATCCCAGAGGACCAAAGATCGCTCTCTCATGAGAGAGGGGACCAATGGTGAGTTTAACCTGAGGTTCACCACACCTCAGGCAAGGGGAGAAGTCGAGAAGCAGGACCATTTATGGTGACATCAGCTGCTTTAAGAATTGAATGTGTGCTGTTGGCATCACTCTGCATCATAAACTAGCCATCTAACCAACTGAGCTGACCAATCTCCTAACCTTTACCAAAATAAGTCCTTTATATATGCGGTCTCTTCTGTGGGTAGACAAAACTTCAATGATTATACTCTGAAAGGTTCCCAGGGCCCTGAGGAAGCTGAGAGTCTTGCATGCTCGAAAGCAGCCCCTCTCATTGATTCTGCTATTTAACTACCAGGAGATGGCAACTGATTGTTACGTCGATTCCACACATTTGCCTTTGCCCTACACACTTGATACCCTTATTCAATTAAAAAAAGTATTGATCTCAGTTTTGAATATTTTAATTGAATTCTCTCATTCCTAGCAACTTGTTTTGTTGGAGTGAGGGTGGTTTGGGTGCTCTAGATTTCTAGTAGCCTTTATGTAGTGCTTTTCTGACATCTCTCCGAACCTGTGCAGCTCCAGTTTTAATGATGTGATCCTCTATTCTAAACTTTCAGTCAGAGAAATGATTCTTTACATGCACCTATCAAATAACTTAATTCACATTATTAAAGTCAAGTTTATGGGTAGAGAGAGACTGGGAGGGAGAGGGAGGGTAGAGTTTACAGAAGCCATAACTTGAGAATAACGTATGAACTTACCAACTGACAGAAAAACACATACTTTTAAGCTGATGAAAATTAACCTACCTGATGATCACAGGACAGATAAATACACCAATCCGCACGACAGACATGTATAAATCGGTGTGCCAGTTATCACAGAAAAGGTTTTTACAAGTTTATATCTATTCTAAACATTTCTGACATTAGAAACTGCTGACATGTCAAAAACCTGGGAGAATATTGGGGAACTTAAGAAATGCATGTACAGATAGGACAAATGAAACTGCATTATATAATGTCTTTTGTCACTCTCAGTACATTGCAAACAATTAGGCACTTTTTGAAGTGTACTCACTGTCATGGAATCAGGATAGCAAGACAATCACCTTGTAACACAATTTTAATGTTGTTCATTGAAGAATAATATAGCGAGATGCTGGGGAGAGCTCACCTTTTTCGAAGCAATAACATAGGAATGTTTATGGTTAATTTAAAGGGGCAGAAGGAGCCTTTATTTAATACCTCTTCTGCAAAACAAAACAATACCTCTGGCAAAGTAGCATTCACTCAGTGCTACAATCAGCCTAGCTGTTGTGTTCAAATCTTGAACACACAACCTTCTAAACCACTGAGCCAAACATTTAAGTATTAAAACCACAAGAATAGAATTTAAAGTTCAAACTACATCCAACCCAAACTTGGATTTTACAACCTTTAGTGATACTAGTGTTGCTAATCTATTACTTTAGAGGTCTGAATGAATAATCTAGAAGAACATAAATTCCAATCCCAAAATGGCATTTTAAAGTTTTGAATTCAAGAAATCTGGAATTAGTAAAAGTTATCAGGAAGTTGTTGGATCATAAAAATCCAAATGGTTCTTTAATGATCTTTTGGGAAGAAAATCCATCAATTATACTTGATTGAATCTTAACTGCCCTTTGAAGTGTCTAGCAAGCCCCACAAGCTAGAGAAGAGTTGTGTGGTTCTATTAACTACTCATTATTAGCAGTGATAGAGAGGGATGGCCCAATTCAGGAAACCAGAATGTTGAAGTAGTTTGCATAAAGATGAGAAATGATAAAGGCAAGAAGTCATTATATATGGTGCATAGTACCCCTAAAAGTACGTGCACAATACAATGGAGTACAGAAATAACAGGAGCTTATCACAAATCTATATATTGATTTAAAAAAATCAGGTTGGCAAGGTAACCTGGAAGAGGAATTCACAATGTTTTCAGGATAGCTTCTTAGAAAATCAAGTTCTAGTCTAATCTAGACAACAAGGTGCAGGGCTGGATGAACACAGCAGGCCAAGCAGCATCATAGGAGCAGAGAGGCTGACGTTCCGGGCCT